ATTGAAACTCTTCACAATCTTAAAATGATTCATGTTGCAATCCTATGACAAGATTTCAGTGACCAGTTCAGTAAAGGAACCCGGGGATGTTCCTTCTAAATAATCGCCAGGACCGTGTTCAACACGGATCTGACTCCCAAAACGTTCTCAAGTAGGCCAATCTTAGTAGCAACCCATACAACATATCAAATAACTCTGGGACAAGAAACATCATTGTAACATCATAATGCATTGTATTTCACATACCTGCAGATTAGAAACCATTAGCCTTGTATCCCGGATGTTGGCCAACACGGCCCAAAGTTAGGAAGTGTTGACACCCCCCAGCATCCTCCTTGTAGACCTCAGCATTGAATAGGGTTGACATGGAAACCCAGCCGTGTAGACCATCACCTGCCTAAAGTACACAGCTATTGCAACCAATCATGTCGACATATCAACGGCCACGACCATGAATATTTTTTGCGTTGATTATTCCCATTTTATATCTCGACATGTTTCAGCCTAAGACTGATAATGAGTAATTGAACCAGCCTTATTCAGCAGGTCCTTGCCCATTCGCTCTTTGGTCACATCCCGTCTGCACCTTTGCGCTTCCGGCAGGAATCCAGGAAATAATACGGTCACATTTGTTTAGGCACAGCCCCACACACAGTTTATCCAGTTAGAGTTCAGCAACCACCGGCAGTGCGGAAAGTTCTTGGAAAGCAGCTCGAACTTGTCGTCGTCAAGCTCACTGGAAGTCCTCAAGAAGTGTTTGAAGATCTACTGATATGTTTTTGAAGTACCACTTGTGCTATCTCTAGATAATGACTCAAAACAATTGAGAACCAGACAAATGGTCGAATCCCAAAGCTTTCCACAAGCAACCAAGAGCATCGTAAGACCCCAAAGTGGTGTGTCAGCACCGCTACCTTAAGTTGTTTTTTCAGTCTGCTCAGCCAAGTACTGAAAGTTCCACAATGTTTCACACTACTGCAGTTTGGATGCAATCACTGGCGTAAGTAAAAAGCTGGCCCGGCCAGGAGGCAAACCATGCTGCCAAACCTAACAATTTGATTGAGCCCTTTTAAGGTAACCGAGAAGCGCGAAAGAGGCTTTGCAGCTTTGAGGCTTTGAAGCGTGAAGCGCCAACGAGGCTTTGCAGCTTTGAGGCTTTGAGGCGTGGAACAAGCGCCAAGAAGCGCCAAAGCGTCAAAGAGCTAAGCGCCAAAACGCCAAAGCGCCAAAGCATCCAAGCGTCTTTGCAGCTTTGAGGCTTTGAGGCTTTGAGGCGAGAAGCGCGAAAGAGGCTTTGCAGCTTTGAGGCTTTGAGGCGTGAAGCGCCAACGAGGCTTTGCAGCTTTGAAGCTTTGAGACGTAGGACAAGCGCCAAGAAGCGCCAAAGCGTCAAAGAGCCGCCAAGCGCC